GGTATCTCTTCCTCCCCCCACTGTTGGAATGGTATTTGAGAGTTGGTAAAAAAATTAGACACGTACTTTAGGAATTACAGAAAACAAGAAGGGTTTGGAGTTGTCCGTTCTAGTGGGGCGACAAAAGGAAAAGGTGCAAATGAAAAAGAAAGGAAATTTTGACTTTTACCACCTTCAAATAACCACTTAATTGAATTTACCACCTCCAAAAAAAAAAGATTTACTTTACCACCACCAAAATTTCCAAAAATTCGATTTTACCACCAACTAACGGATTCCGTCCATGAATCCGTTAGTAGGGCCCATCTTTTTGACGGTTCTTCTTCATCTTCCCCGATTTCCATATCAACCCAGCCAGCAACGAAATTAACACACCATGGTTGGTCGGAATTTCGTGTGGGGGCAAGGGAGGGGTCGGAATTTGGTGTAACCTAGGGAGGTGATCGGAATTAGGTGGTGGTTAGGGTTTTAGGAGTGCGGAATTTGGTGGTGGCTAGGGTTTTAAGAGTTGTCGGAATTAGGGGGGCTATATGGGTGGTCGGAATTTGGTGGCTAGGGTTTTGAGGTCGGAAATTGGTGAAAGGGGGTCGAAATCCGGTGTGGGGGCTGTGGCTGGGTGCGGTGCGATGCGGTGTTAGCGGTTAGGTGGTGGGGTCGTTGGTCGTAGTGATTAGGTGGTGGCTAGGGTTTTGAGGTCGGAAATTGGTGGAAAGGGGGTCGAAATCGGTGTGGTGGTTGTGCGGTGCGGTGCGGTGGTTGTGGCTGTGCGTTGCGGTGGTAGTTATTAGGTGGTGGGGTCGTTGGTCGTAACGGTTAGGTGGTGGGGGCTGGTAGCGGTTAGGTGCGGGGGCTGGTCGTAGAGGTCAGGTGGTGGGGCAGGTCGTAGTCGGTCCGATGGTGGGGTCTCGGCGGTGGCAGCAACCACCGGTTGATGGATGGGGTTTTTTAATTTTTTTTTGTTTTTTTTTAATTTTTTTTCTAAAGCTTACCCAATAATATGGTGACACGTGTGCAAGGTAGGCCCCACTAACGGATTTATGGACGGAATCCATTAGTTGGAGGTGATTGGTGGTAAAACTGATGTTTAATTTTTTTATGAGGTGGTAAAGTAAATCTTTTTTTTTGGAGGTGGTAAATTCAATTAAGTGGTTATTTGAAGGTGGTAAAAGTCAAAATTCCCAAAAAGAAAAGCATAATATAATTTGGACTTATGAATGTTCTGGATTTCCCGGTAGGAAGAGTAAGAAGTCTGGTTCCACCTTTGTTTCAAATTCACAAATAAGTGACGAAGTTTAATTTGTGTGAAACGCAAGAGCAAAAAAGTTAGCTGCCCCGTGATGAAGTTGTATGCGAAGGTGAACGAGGTAGGTGAATGGGTAATTGATAAGGCAATTGTAGAACATCAAGGTCACAAGCCAACACCCGAGAAGTCCAAAAACATCTTCAAATTCAGGCAGAAGTTCCTAATGGACAATCCTCACATTGTTCAACAACTTTTAAATGATCAAAAGGTGGGTGTACCTATTGCTACCATATATAATTGTATGGCCCGGCAAAGAAATGGGAGGGAAGAGATGCAATTTACCCAAAATAATTTGCATGCGATAGTTGCGAAGCAAAGAAAAGCTGTATTTGAGGAAGGTGATACGAAGGCAATGTTTGCTTACTTCTAGAGGATGACGGATGATAACTCCACTTTTTCTCATACTCATCCTGTAGATGAGTTGGGTAGGCTCCAAGATGTATTGTGGGTTGATGCGAGGAGCCGGGTCGCGTATGAGGAGTTTGGAGACGTCGTGTGTTTTGATTCGAAGTATTTGACCAATGAATATAAGCTCCCCTTTTGTAATTTTGTGGGTGTAAATCATCACGGGCAAACGATATTGTTTGGATGTGCATTAGTTTCCCGCGAGACCGCGAAAACATTTGAGTGGGTCTTTTCTAATTGGTTGAGGTATATGGGTGAAAAGCAACCAATTAGTATCCTAACGGATCAAGATCCGGCGATGAGGAAAGCTTTAAAGGTGACTATGAAAGGAACCACTCATCGATGGTGTATTTTGCACATCACACAAATTTACCAAGAAGCTTGGCAAGCTTCCTAATTATGCCAAAATTCACGATGACCTTGTGAATGTCATTTATGACAGCCTTGATTGCAAAGAGTTTGAGTCAAATTGGCCCGAGGTTATCAAGAAGCATGAACTTGAAGACAATGAATGGCTGCAAGGTCTGCCTTCTAATCTTTCAACATCATCACAAAATGATTCAACTCTACAAACAATGTTCGGGGGCTGAAAAAATCAACAAACACATGTCAATACAACATTCATGAAATCACAGCAAAACATTCAAGGTTTCTGATGACAATTTCTTTGTTCAAGAACTAATAATACAGGACATTACAAGAATTCAGCCAATCTCTCAGCCTATAAGGGCATTTATCATTATATCAGGGCATTTATCATTATAACATGCCAGAACTTCTCAAATTTCAAACATAGGATGTCTATATAGCCATAACAGTAAATAGATAAGAATCATTCTCAACGAGTCCATAAATAAGTATATTTATACTAATTTGTAAGAGTATGATCTCATCACAAGTATTATTCAAAAATATTACTATGAATTTAATCAATCTGATAGCTACATATATGAATCTGAACATGTCCACAGCATGTACACAGTAATTATGATCAGGGCAGAACATGTACTCTAATCTATACTATAACCTATTGCAAAAAAAACTGATCAAGTAAATAGACACAAATTACAAGCCCACACCATGTAGGAGTAACGTCGGAATACCTTCCCAACATTGTCATAATGATGCTTCAATACTTCCCCTCTAGCAAGGACCTTCTGCCCTTCAATTTTAGGGATCTTCTTTCTCGATTGGCCTTTAAGGGCTGCAGCCAACTTCCTTTTCTTACTCCTGCTTCAAGTAATCCTTTATAAGAGTGTCAGTGGACTCTAAGCTAGATGACTGACCATCATCTTTCTCGTACTCCGATTGCGTGGAACCAGACTAGAAGCTTCAGTAACAAGCTCCAATGCAGTTTGTTTCTGTTTACCTCTTTTGAGATTGGACTTTGCCTTAACAGCCTTAATAACAACACCTTTTTAGTTACCAGCATCCTCTTTCAACGTTCCAAAATTTGAACATGACTACCAAGTACCGTAACAAAACAAATAACCATTGTCATCTTACATATTAAAGAAAATATCCACAATTTTAATAGTTAAACTCCATAGGAACACTCACCCCCGACCGTTTCCAAGAAAATTTCCGAACTATAGATTTATTCCTTATCGTCTTCTTCGCTTTATAACACTCTATTTCAAAAGGCAGAGTAGAGACATTTTCATTTGAAGATAAATTAACAGAACTACAATTCACCCAACACCACGTGCATCATTACAACCATAATTGGCACCCATGCACCATGCATCATTCTGAATAATAACTTTATAGGTACATAATAACATTATCTTAATCAGCAACACCCAACAACTCAACATGTGCAAAAGCATTTATCAACACTAGCATTTCAATATAAATCAAAGGCATGTGCAAAACCAATTCAATCCTTGCTACAATAAAAATCAACTACTATGCAACTGTACATTAAAGAGAATTAAACGACCATTTCCATATAGCTCAATGTCAACAACATGTGCAGAAGCATTATAAATCTAATAAACTAGTATGCAATGAAATTAAGTTCTGTCAGACTCATACTTCCAACCCTTGTGCACATTATAGGCTTTATAGCTGATTCTCCCCAATTGATCCTAACCTCTCTCTTGCTCTAGTATTTATTCATTTATTTGTTGCTTGTATCTAAGATGGACTGAATATGCTATTGCTTAGCACTAACCTAGTGACTCTTAAGGCTTAACCAAGACCACACACTGGTTTACCACCACATCAAAATTAATTACTATAAAAGGATCATAAAAAACTATATTTCTTTGCACATCTTGTTAGTAACACTAATTAATGGGTCAAGAGCTATATGTATCCAGTAGTTAGAAAAGTATCAATTGCAAACTAATCTGAGATAAATCTAAGCACAATATCAACTTTTGGCTATGTTCATTAAGCAGCAATTACTTTGTTATGCAAGAAACTTGCTCAATTAGGCAATTTGATGGTATGACTGTCTCATTTTCATTAAGGGGTCCATTATCAATTTACCATAGCAGTGTACCAAGATAAATCAATTATTTTTATCAATAGGAGTCAGTGTATCAAAAACTTCAAAATGTGAGTAAAGAATATTTAACACATACAAACCCCTCCCTCCACCAACCCATTTCTTATCCAAAGGTATTATCATCTACAGATTTAGATGTTATTCGGTAATTAAGGCAAGATTGTAGTATTATACAAGTAGTAGGTATGGTAGCTGTATAGCACTCGCACATGAATGAATGGCAAAATATGTAAAATGGGAGTAATACTCCATAAAATATCAAGATATTCTGAATGGAAATCAATTGTGGAGATTGCAAGATCAAACCATATACTGTAAACAATTGAAACTCAGTACCAACTCCCATATTCCAGTTAATATATAAACCCAGTCAAATCAAACAACAATATGAAATGTTACACCGGATTGCTAATATCTAACCACTTACTCGAACACACCCCTGTATTAACGCTTTAAAATTTCTAAAGCACATGGTAATTTCTTGGTCATTGTAATGACGCCACATGTAACGCACTTACCTTTTGATAATAATACCTCGTGAATTCGTGATAGGTATCCGTGAGGAAGCACCCACGATACTTCGTTAGTTCTTGCTTTATATTCGTTTTTTCGCACGTCGTTTGCATAAAGACAAATACTAAACACACTAGTCAATTTAAGTCAATTAGAAATATTAGTTTTTTAATGTTTTATGGATGGTTCGTTGCTGCTTCTTTACATAATTGTTGGCTGTTTATGCCTTAAGCCCCAAGCTTCATTGTACAAATCCGAAGAGTGACTAATTGGTGTCACTGATTGACTATATTCACAAAGCAAGTCGTATTTTCATGATTAAATTGAAAAAAAGTAAATATCCTTCCAATTACATTACTTGAAAATGAAAATTTATTACCCTTACCCTTACCCTTACCCTTACCCTTACCCCTCACTTTCAGGTTTGTAATTCGCAAAATACTAGATCAAAAAAAACTTAAAGATCGAGGTGAATGAGGTCTAATGAGCTTTAATGTATAATGAATTAATGAGATTAATGGGATAACGAAGTAACGAACCCCTTACAAAGTCTCCTTCCAAATTAGAAATATATAAACTTGACCCTTCAACATTCATACTCAAACTATATTTAGCTCCATCACACTAATGCCTCTATAAAAATCATTTCAGAATTGTGAGAAACGTCTCATATAAGATTTACTCTCGACTCATAATCAAAGATGGAAATGTTTTCATCACAGTTCGGCTCCAACCTAGCTGGTTTAATGTTCATTTGGACAATCTACCGGCATTACCTCCCTCCCAAAATACATGAAGCCATCGAGTATTTCACTTCTCGTTATACTCATAAGTTGGCTAGTTTCTTTTCCCCTTACCTCGATATCACCTTCAATGAGTACTCGAATCGATTCAATCGAAACGAGGCCTACGATGCGATCCAAAGCTACCTTGGTGAAAAATCTTCAACAGAAGCTAAAAGCATGAACGCTAATTATGATGAAGGTGCCAAGAGTTTGTTGATAAAATTGGGAGATAATGAAGAGATCATGGATGATTACAGTGGTGTTCAAGTCTGGTGGTCTTTTGTCAAACAACACGTTGAACAACCCGTCATCTCTTACTACCGAAACTCCAATGAATTAAGGTTCACTTCTTTCATTTTTTTTTAAGTTCTAATTTGATTATTATTAGTCAAACTATTGATTCACATGAAGAACTTCGTATCTTCTTATAATTCCTATCTTAAGATTACTCTGTATTTTTCTCTTATGCAATAATCCTGAATCCTCTGTTTCATTTTACTTTTTTCTTAACAAATAAGCTCTCACAAAATTTGGTTAAATCCGATGTAAAATTAAAGAGGAGTATTTTATTTTGTAGCTTTAGTTTTGGTTTTATTATAAGAAAATATTGGTGAATCAATTTGGCCTGAGGCTAAACACTACGGGAAATTGGAAAGAATGAAAAGGAATGTTCAACCTTATAAAGCGTAACATGATGATTTGGTTTTATTTCGAATAAAGAAAATTTAACTACAAAATTAGACGTAGTATCTTCATACAGAATCTTGTTAGATTAGTTGTTTGGTCAACGTTTATAATATAAATGGTTGACCAACTAAATTAGTTAATGTCCTGAGAAGTGATACTCAAAGCCTTTGTTTTTTTTACACGGTGAGATATGGGGGGTGCCCCTCCTATCACAAGAGGAGTGGGGTGAAGATCGAACTCAGGTCACTCCTGGAGAAGATGGAGGGACTAACCACTCCATGATCCTCAAAACATTAAAATTAGTAATACTGCATATAAATCTCACATGGTATCATTAGTAATACTTCGTATAAATGTCACATGGAATCATCTGTCAATACATGTAACTATGTGAGTGATCTAATCAACTAGAAGAAAAGATTTTTATTTCCCCCACTTATCACAGCAGTGATATGAACACTCATGATTATAGTATATCATTTAAGTGATAAAAACTTTCAAACAGAATTTATGACTTGATAGATTGTTATACTAACAATGTTGTGCATTCAAACAGACACTACACTTTGGTGTTTCATGCCAAACACAGAAAATTTATTCTAGACAAGTATTTACCATATGTTTTCGAGGAGGGTGAAGCGATTACAAATCGAAACAAGAAGCGAAAACTATACACAAATGGAGATGATGGAGAAATGTGGGATAATTGCATTGATTTCAAACACCCTGCAAGATTCGGGATGTTGGCAATGGAGGAGGCTAAAAAACAGATGATCCTCGAGGACTTACAATGGTTCAAGGGCGCAAAAGAGTACTACGCACAAATTGGAAAACCATGGAAGCGAGGTTACCTTCTATACGGCCCCCCTGGAACAGGAAAATCAACACTAGTAGCAGCCATGGCTAATCTGCTAGACTACGACATCTATGATCTTGAATTGACAGCCGTTAAGAATAACAAGCAACTGAGAAGACTACTAATCGAAACGACTTGTAAGTCCATCATTTTAATAGAAGATATAGATTGTTCGTTGGACTTAACAGGACAAAGAGCAGAGAAAAAAGAAGGAGACGAAGAAAAGGCCGACGAAAAAGACCCTTTGAAGAATAAACATGCAGGAGAAAAAGAAGCGAAAGACAAAAAGAAGAAAGGAAGTGATGTAACTTTGTCTGGTTTACTAAACTTTATTGATGGAATTTGGTCAGCTTGTGGAGAAGAGAGGATCATTGTGTTTACGACTAATCATGTGGACAAACTCGATCCTGCTCTAATTCGGCCTGGTAGAATGGACTTGCATATCGAGTTGTCTTACTGTCGATATGAAGCATTTAAGATGTTGGCTAAGAATTATTTACGGCTTGAGTCACATCCTTTGTTCGAAACCATTGGGAACTTGTTGGAGGAAATAGATGTTACTCCTGCCGATGTAGCTGAAAATATTATGCCTAGATCACTCAAGACTACTACTGCTGAGGATTGTTTAAAGAAACTATTTGTTTACCTTGAGAAGTCAAAGAAAGAAAAGAAGTTGAAAGCTGAGCAAGAACTTATGTTAGAAGGTGGAGAGAAGTTAGCGTCAGGGGAAATATCTGGTTAAAAGAAAAACATCTTTGAAGTAAACAACCAATGAAACTCGTCATTTTCAAAATATTGTAACGAGTTTTATTTATGTTTTCACACTTTTTTAATAAAAAATTATCTCTTTTAACACTCTTTTCCAATAATATAAATCTAATAAAGTGAATAACTTTTAAGAGACGAAAGGAGGAATATTTTTGTGATATAACACACCGTAATGAGAAGCCATTAGCTACATGTAAAGACTAGTCAATTTAGTCAATTATAGAAATATTAGTTTATCTATTTTATTTTAATGTTTTATGGACGAGAGTTCATTATATTGTTGCTTCTTTACTTGTTTACGCTTTTAGCTTTTTAGGCTTCCTTAAGCCCCAAGCTTCATAACTTTCCTGTTTATGCCTTAAGCCTCGTAACTTACCTGTATTTGTTTATGCCTTAATCCCCAAGCTTCATAACTTCGTTGTAACATGCCTTATTGCCTTAAGCCCCAAGCTCCATAGTACAAATCCGAAAAACGACTAGTTGAAGTCATTGATTTATACTTATTTACAATACACACACAATATATGTATGTGTCAAAATGGTTGAATATCCTATCGTCATAGTTATATAATAATTTTTTTTTCTTCTTCAAATAAAACGAACCACAATATCATTGTGCCAATATACTTCGTATTAGAAACACTATACAACATAATTACAGAAATTTAAATTTATGATTTGTTTTGTACAATCTTAATTTTGTTAGGATATAGAAAACCTCAAAATATGATAAGATTTAACAAAATATATCCTAACCATAGGACAAAGAAGAACTTTCTACATTCGTTCTCTATCATTCAAATTAGAAAATAAGTTGTTTCTTTCAAAAACAAAAAAGGAAATAAAAGTTGCCCCTTCACAATCCTACTGCAACATGGAAACTCTGTATATGTTTAGTTCATCGCACTAAAACCTCTATATATATGATTTAAGAATTGTGAGAACATCTCATACAAGACTTAGCTCGCTTGACTCGTAATCAAAGATGGAGATGTTTTATAAAAACAATCTGCTAGCATATATTATCTCCCTCCTAGGTTACATGCAGCCATTGAGTATTTCACTTCTCGTTATACTAATAAATTGGCTAATTACTTCTTGCCTTACATCGATATCACCTTTGATGAGTACACAAATCGATACACTCTGTTTCAGTCATCGGCAGGATGCATGAAGATCTGATGATACCCTCAGAATGCGTCCATGAAACTAAGCAAGGCATGCCCACTTGTCAAGTCGACTAACTGATCGATCCTCGGCAAGGGATAAAAGTCGTTCGGACAGGCCCTATTTAGGTCCGTGAAGTCAACGCACATTCTCCAGGTGTCATTTGCCTTCAGAACCATCACCACATTGGCCAACCATTCCGGATATTGACAAGGTTCAATGAAACCTGCATCCAGAAGTTTTTTTACCTCGGCTGTGATGTCTTGGTTCTTATTTGCGGAGTAATTCCGCTTCATTTGAACATATCGTGAATAGATTCCTTGTGTAGCATTTCAAATCTTTCATATTTTGATATCAACGAGTCAATTTTGGAACGCTTAACTTCATTCGTTCCTTCATGTGTTACTTGTAATGAATCCCAAATTTGCTTTGCAGACTTACAACCCATGATTTTGTTATGCTCATAAGGTCCTAGTCCACGGTGCAAGATTTTCACTGCTAAAGCATTCAACTCATATTTTTCAAAATCCTCTTTTTCAAATTCAGACAGTGGTTTAGGGATTACCTCATTTTTCTCATTGGTTTTTGTTACCTAGAAGTCGCCTGATTCAATGACCCTCCATACTTGGTAATATTCAGTCTTGGTGAATATTTCCATCCTGTTCTTCCAGTATGAATAAAACTTGCCATTGAACATCGGTGGTCTTTGGGTCGAGTACCCCTCTTCAAGTTTCTCGTGTGTATTCATCTCTCCAAGAACGTACTCTATAAGGTTTCTTGTATTTAGTGAGAACCTGCTCCGATACCAATTGTTAGTTTAGATAAATTAGTACGAGAGGGGGGTGAATTGTAGTAGGTTCCAGTTAGGTTAATCTTTTGCATAATATAAAAGCAAAACTTAAAAGGAACTTAAAGCACACAACAAGTTTTACGAGGAAACCTTCCAGGGCCCAATTGGAAGTAAAACCTCAACCCTTCACGGGATTTGCACATCAAAACTTCACACAATAGGGCAACTCCTAGTTACAACCTATTACACACATACCTTTCTCACAAGTTCCTCCACGACAACTTGCTAAACTCACAAGTTCCTCCCTGAACACTTGCTACTTGATAGGACCCTATCCTACCCAACCTAAGTCCCACACTTAGGTTCACTCAGCACTCCTAGAGTGCCTACACCCTGCTTCACACTAGAAGCTTCTCCCTGTGCACTCACAGCTACACACGTATTATAGAGAATTCACACTCACCCCAAAACACAATTTCAACGCAAAGACTCACTCTAATATATAAATGGAAAGCTACACATGAAGCCCGAAATCAAAATGATAAAGCTTAAACCTTTGCAAACTTACTCTTAAGTACTGAGTGGTTTTCACACTTAAACTCTCACTTTACTTCGAAGAACTTCCTCCTTATTTATAGAAGATATCAACTTAGTAAAGTAGGGTTATGATAAAATGATAAGTTAAAGATAAAACCGAATTTCAACCTTATCATATTAAAACAAAAATCAAGTAAACTTCATTCCGTTTTTAAAGAAAACCTTTCATTAGTTAACCCGTTTATTAAAAGATAGAATTTTACATGAAAAAGATAAAACCAAGTAAACCAGATTTTAAGAGATAAAATCAATTAAGTTCTTTTTCATAAACTCAAGATAATCTTTTACGAATTAGTTCGTTTGCCAAACTTTATCTAATTTCTAAGAAGTTCCAATCATATATTTACATCAACCCTAAAGAACAAACTTATCTTTAATACAACCTAAGATATAAAGTTCATCTTTGTGGTTGATATCTCGAGCTCTGCATTGGTTCTTGATTCTTAAAGTCACGTTGGAACTCGCAGACCAAGTCATTACAACATGTTGTCCTTCTTCTCCAACATTGCACTGGAACTTGCTTCTGCTAGGAAGCCCTTGATATGTTCCTGTTAGGGAACACCTTGTAGTTCCATCCAGCTTATTTCAGAGAACTTTCTGTTCCTCGCTTTGATCTTACTTGCCATCCTTAGTCTTTTTAATTTCCTTTGTTCCAGACCTCACTTCAACTCGCAGAGTTTACTTATTTTGCAAACATCAAAACACTAGAAAACTCTTATTAGATAGAAGTTTGCTCAATCATCAACATCATCCAAAGGGTCAACAGAAGCTATCCAAAGCTAACCTTGGCGATAAATCTTCAACAAAGCTACAAGCATGAACGCTAATTATGATGAAGATGCCAAGAACTTGTAAATGAAATTGGGAGATAATGAAGAAATCATGGATGAATACGATAGTGTTCAAGTCTGGTGGTTTTTTATCAAAAGACACCTTGAATAATCTTTTTACGGAAACTCCAATGTATTAAGGTTGACATCCTTCCTTTCTTTTACGTTCTAATTTAATTTAATTAGTCAAACATTTTATGGTTTACTGCGTATTAATTATTCCATCTCTCTTTTTTAATCTTCAAGAATATATTCTTTTCTTATGCAATAATCCCCTGTTTTAGTTTACGTTCTAAATAACCAAAAAGTTCCCACAAGTATTGGTCAAAATCGAGTGTAAATAAAACATAAACAACGTGTTGCGTTGACAAATATGTAAAGTGGGAATAAGAATTTTATTTTTGTTAGGGTTGGTGAGTGCACAGCAGAAGCGAAATGTGTTTGATTGAGAATTATAAATTGAATTTATAATTTGGCAAGATAATTAATATAAATGAACACACGATTTTATGTAATAACGAGCACTTTTATTCCACTATTTGAAAGTAGGAGAGTACAAGAACCCTTGAGGGTGATTGTTACAAGAGAACTCTCACTATAAGAAACTCACAAGGAGTATTATGATAGTAGTGGAATATTACAAGGAGGGAGGATATTTTGTAGAAAGGCTTGTGTTATGTTTTTGTGTTTTTGTTGTTATGGTTTTTTTGTTGTTTTGATTGAATGCCCTTGACTAATATTTATAGGTGATGATGGAAGTTTCTAGATTCTTATGGAAATTTCCCCATAATTATGCCTCTTATTCTAGTGACTTCCACTTTTAATTATTCTCTAGAATATTCTAGGGAATATTAAGGTTGTAGATAACTCTAGAAAAATCAAGTGCAATCTTCTCTTGATTTTTCATGAAACTTCTAGATTATACTCCATCGATATATAATGGGCTTATAAAATTTGGGCCATACCCAATAATTCTTTTTATTTTATAGTCCGTCATTCTAGAGATAAAATCTTTCAAACAGAGCTTATGACTTCATTATTTTACTAACAATGTGGTGTTTTTAAACGGAAACTTTAGATTGGTGTTTCATGCCAAACACAGAAAGTTTATAATGGACGAATAAATACCCTATGTTTTCGAGGAAGGTGAAGCAATTACAAATCGAAACAAGAAGCGACGATTGTTCACGAATGGAGATGAGGGAGATATGTGGGAAAACTGCATCGATTTCAAACACCCTGCAATATTCGGGATGTTGGCGATGGAGGAAGCAAAGAAACAGATGATTCTCGAGGACTTACAATGGTTTAAGAGCGCAAAAAACTACTACGCGCAAATTGGAAAGCCATGGAAGCGAGGTTACCTTCTTTACGGTCCCCCGGGAACAGGAAAATCAACACTAGTAGCAGCTATGGCTAATCTCCTAGACTACGACATCTATGATCTTGAATTGACAGCGGTTAGGAATAACAAACAATTGAGAAGGCTACTAATCGAAACGACATGTAAGTCCATCATTCTGATTGAAGATATAGATTGTTCGTTAGAGTTGACAGGACAAAGAACGGAGAAAAAAGCAGATAAAGAAAAGGCCAAGGAAAACGACCCTTTGAAGAATAAACCTGTAGGAGAAAAAGAAACGAAAGACAAAAAGAAGAAAGGAAGTGATGTGACTTTGTCTGGTTTACTAAACTTCATTGATGGAATTTGGTCAGCTTGTGGAGAAGAGAGGATCATTGTGTTTACGACTAATCATGTGGACAAACTCGATCCTGCTCTAATTCGGCCTGTTAGAATGGACTTGCATATCGAGTTGTCTTACTGTCGATATGAAGCATTTAAGATGTTGGCTAAGAATTATTCACCGCTTGAATCACATCCTTTGTTCGAAACCATTGGGAGGTTGCTGGAGGTAATAGATGCAACACCAGCTGACGTAGCCGAAAATATTATGCCTAAATCACTTAGGACTACTACCGCTGAGGAATGTTTAAAGAACCTAGTTGTCAAACTTGAGAAGAGAAACAAGATGAAATCTGAACAAGAGCTTGTGTTGGAAGGTGTTGAGGAGTCATCTTCTAGTGACGATGACGAGTAAATCAATCAATTCTATTTTTTCAAGTTATTTTTAAGTAGTACTAGTGAATAACAAAGCCATGTAATCAAAAGTCAATTAGTAACTGATATCAGTAGTTTTTATTAACAAGTTGATTTTATTGTTACTATTGAGTATTGTTTTTGGGTTCCCATGCATTACAATCGCGAGGATGCCATATTATCTTTCTTTTTCTACAATTGAATCTTACAAAAAGCTCAAATTCAACATTCACAAAATGCTTGATATATATTTTAAAAAGGTCTCCAAGTTGTTTAGGTTGTTCAGGCTTGACTCACAAAGTGAAGGATCAGAAAATTGGCTTGAATGCTCAACAAACAGAATTAAATTAGCTCAGTTTTTTCAACGACTATCATCTGGGGAAATAATCATCAATTCCGTTCTCCTTGTAATCCTCCAAAATCGTGCACATAAGTTACAAGCACCCTCCAAAGTGTGAAAATATTAGTACAGAATTCATCGAGCCAAGTTTATATTTTCTAAGAAAAAAAGGAGTACTCCGTAATAAAGATGAGTAAGATCAGGATTGGTGAATTGGTATCAGTCACGGTATATTCAGAAACACGGACCAAATAAGTATTCATCATTTCTCACTAATCTCAAACAATAAATTTTAAACAGATAAACAAAAATCAAGTTATTTGATTTCAAATTCGTTTCTAATGTATTAATAGGAGGGGATCAGAAAATTGGCTTGAATTCTCCATAAAGAGAATAAAAATAGCTCAGTTATTTCAACTTCGATCATCTGGGGAAATAATCATCACTTCCAACTCCATTTTTCAATTCGCATTAAAACCTAATCTTATAAATGGTTCATAACCATTAATCATAATCTAATTGTTAATGTCCCTCCAATTATTTCAGGTTCGAGTTAAATCGGGTTTCGAGTGACAAGGAGACGGATCAGAAATCTGGCTTGAATTCTCTAAAAAGAGAATTAAAATAGCTCAGTTATTTCAACGTCGATCATCTGGGGAAATAATCATCACTTCCAATCTCCTTGTCATATAAATTAATTAATTGAATTAAATCATAATTAATTATAGGAACGTCTGAATGCATAAATCATTAACAACAATGGAAAATGCCAGAATCTTTAATTCCCAAATTAGTATTGGCAACGTACAGCGCTAAAAGCGCTATTGTAACTAAGCGCATCAGAGACTCTAATTTATTGCCGTATTTTTATTTTTTTTCAAATCTTAACATAAAAAAAAATAAAAAAATATAAAAATTAAATTTGATTTAAAGGCTTCAGCGTAATTAGTGATGTCATCAAAGTAAGCTTTATTTAGCTTTCAGAGTTTGATGGTATTACATAAACATCACAGCCAATTATATTCAATAAAGAAATTAAAAATTAAAAGAAAAATAAAAAACAAATTAATTTTGTTAATGGCCTCAGAAATTTTGTTAAGAATATCATCAAATTCAGATGGTACGGACAATTGATAAATCCTTGGCCAAAAATTGAATAAATATATGAAAATATGAAAAAAATAATTATGAAAGAAATTTACTCAGAAATAAGGATTTTTATCTCATAGGTTGCAAGCAACCTCCGAAGTCTGACATGTGAATAATTCCATAAATCATCATCGCAAAATGAATTTCAAGGAAATTACAAAAAAATTAAGATAAATTAATTTAAGAAAAAGCAACTCTCATAAAAGATTTATGAATGACAACATAAATTAATCAGAATAGCGTATATTGCCTTAAAAGGCTGAAAAATCATTGAGCCGCAGTAAAATAAGAAATTTAATTAAAAAAAATGAGATCAGAGTTGGTTAATTGGTATCGGTCACGGTAAATTCAGAAACACGGACCAAAAATTATTCATCATTTCTCACAAATTAAAAAAAAAAAAAAAAAAAAAAAAACTTGAAAAAAAACTAGGAATTTTGAAAATGCAATTTATTTGGAGAAAGAAGCAATCATCAGAGACTTAAATACAAAAATCATGAAGATTGAAAATCAATGTCATATTGTTGCAGTATTTTTCTCATCAGATGATTGCAAAATAGAGATTAAACAACTACAAATGAAGTAGAAATTAAGAGAAGAATTGTTTACCAGGAGACGAATGGGCGGCGAAAGCAGCGATGATGATGAAGAATGAGGGTTTGTGGGGCGTAGTTATATGAGTTCGGGGAGAGAGTTGAACTGTGAAACCCTAGATCGAACGGCCGTTTTGAGTGAAAATGGGGTTTAACGGCTATTAATATTGGGGAAATTTGGTGAATGAGTGGGTGAGATGTGTGGGTTGAGTAAGGCCCATTTTGTTATGGTCCGGTTTTAATCATGGGTTAGCTTAGGCCTACATTAACTTTGTCTTAAAAAAAAAAAAACAAAAATAACTTTGCTATGTTTTTATTTGATGAGGAAAATTCAATAGAGCTTGATAGAATTAGCGTAATTTTTACACATGATTGTAATTGATTTAATGATTAACAAAATTAGGTAAAGAAACTTTTTTAAAAATATACAACATTGTCAAATCGAGAAAGTCTTGAAAGACGGTCAAAGCAACGAATATATATACTACTATGTTAATATATACCTTGTAACCTTATGAACATTTTATTTTATGACGGATTGATTACAACTTATTCAAAACTCTTTTAATTGATTATCTTATTATGTCCCTTTTCCTATATCTGATTGTTACTTATGATAATTCATGTTAGCTTTATCCAAATTATTTTGAGACTAAGGCTTTATTATCGTTATTGTTGTTGTGTTTATATAATTGTGTACAATAATAATTTTTAGAGTAAATTTCATTGTGTGACCAGGTCCAAAAAAACTATTTAATTCAAATAATAGTGTTTGGCTATTGGCTATCAGTCAAATAGTAATGTTTGGCAATTAGCCATTGGCGTTTAGTTCTTAGTTGTTTCACTTGGCTGGTTTGATATACTTTTCAAGAAATTTTGTATTTTAACACCCAAAAAAAGACTAAAATGGTTTTTAATACCTCCAAAAAATAATTATTGTAACACCAGGAAAAAATTTTAAAATTGGATTTTACCGACACTTAATTGTTTCCGTCAAAAAAAATCGTTAAGTAAGGTCCACAGTGGCACATGTCATCATTTTATTGGTTTAAAAAAAATAGAAAAAATTCAAAAAAATTATTAAAATTCCTAAAACTACAAACCCACCCCAACCCCAGCCCTACCATTGCCACCTTCTTCTCCACCCTCACCCAGCGCAACCGTCGGCGCATCCACTACCCCTCCTTTTACTCAACCCACCTGAACCGGCCCAACACCGCCAAACTGGCCCAATTCAACACCACTAAACGTTCAAACTGCAACCCTCTATCCCCAAAAACGACCACAAATTCGGCTACTATTGGCTAAAATTGGCCGGTTTTGGGGCTAATTGGCCTAAAAGGCCGATTTCGACCATTAATGGTCGAATTCGTGGCCGTTTTTGGGGAAGGGTGGCTACAATTTGGTGGTTTTGGGGCAATTAAGGGTTGGGGAAAGGGATGGGGAGGGTTTAGGTGGATCGGGTTTAGGTTGGGGAGAGGATGTGCCAGCAGTGGGCTGGGGGGCGGCGGCTGTGCTTGGTAGGGGCGGAGAAGAGGGCAGCTGTGGTGGGGCGGTGGTAGGGGTTGGGGTGGCTGGGTAGTTTAGGTTTCTTTTTAATTTTTTTATATTTTTCATTTTTTTTTGCCAATAACAAAACGACACGTGGCTTTATGGCTCCATTTAACGGATCCTTGGACGAAATCAATTAAGTGGTGGTAAAATCAAATTTTTATATTTGTTTTTGGTGTTAAAGTAATTTTTTTTTTTTGGTGTTAAAAACCATTTTCAGTCTTTTTTAATACAAAATTTCCTACTTTTTATTGGATGTTAAGTTGAATATTCTACCAAATGAAGTGTATTTTTTAAAATTAACGAGCAGTTATAACTGTGCATAATTACATATAATATTACACAAAAAAAAATATAATATTCACAATCAATTACATTATACTAAAGGCGAAATTTAGAGGGACACTTAGCAACGTAATATAAAAAGTTTTCCTCCAAAATTTCTTACTAAAAAAAAAACTTTAATTTTTATATAAAAATTAGGTTTGTATCTCAATTATAACTTTTACTTTGTACAAAATCTTAATAAACCACCTTAAATATCAAATTGTCTATTATAAAACTATTACATGTTTAATTATATTCTTTCACATAAATTTCATAATTTTTAATACAGAGTCTATTCATAATACTTTATATCAATTTTTTTGGTAACATTTATTGTCATTATATTTATTTAACAATCGTGTATTGCACGGGTTTAATCTACTGACTTAATATGAGTGAAAATTGAGATAAATTTTTTGTTATGTTTTTACATAATACTACAAATAGCTTATTTATTTCGGAATAAAAGTCAGCTTATTAGTTAATAGAAAAACTCATTTACCAAGCATTTTTGTAAGCTATTTGATCAAATATAAATAAACCAAAAAGTAGTGTGGGTTGTAAACAAATCAAGACATGTATCTACTTGTTTGAGTTCGGTTTGTTAAGCAATATTGTTATTCGAGCATGTTCAAGCTCAAATGCGCATTTAATTTTTTATTTTTCATTTTCTATTCGAGCTAATTGAGATTGATATTGAGTTCACAAACACATTCCCTTATTTACACCATTAGCCAAATCTGCCCAATAAACCATTTGCCAAACACCCTAACATTAAATCAAAAAAATATTCAATAAACTCCATCCAAACACAAACAAATTTAATTTCACTAATCTCTCTTTATTGATCCAAGCTTCACATAGAGGAAAGGTCAGTCTACAAGTATAAAATCATACACGAATTGAAGTAGCAATACCTAATAAGAAGCGTATTGTTCTAGGTGACTACCATGTCTATCACCCCATCCTGCAGGACAGAATGTAACATAGAGCTCCTTCACCAAACAGCTCACCAAAGGCGAAGGCGAATCAAACGCATAGCTAACATAAGAAGGGCAAGTACCCTTAAATAGACTCGAATACAAGCTTGGTTTACACTTCTCAGGACTCCCATACTCATTCCTGCAACAAAACCTGTCCATATCGAACGCGAGACAAGCGCTCTTACAAGCCACTACATTCCCTCTTGCATCCTTAACTTGCAACTCCAATGGACAAATACCTTTCAAGTCTCTTACGCACCCTCGAATGGCGCAGTCGGGTGATCGCCCTGCTATGACGGATACAGGGAGGTTGTACCCGTCCACGAGGCTAACGTCGTAGAAGCTAGGCTGGTTTTTGTCTGTGTGAAGTGTGAGCTCTACTAATGTTGCTGGGGGTTTGCCTATGAGACCGTTGCACTCGAGCTGGCCATCGCAGTCCCCTGTTTGGCATGCTGGTTTCAAGGTTGGGGGACTTGTGGTGTTTTTGGTACTCTCTGCTTTGAAATTGCAGCCGGTTCGAGCCCATATGCGGCCGCTCCAGCCCCATGGAGTGTGGATGATGGATGACTGCTCGGGTTTTAGGGTGAAGCCGCCGTTGGCTGTGACCGGGTGACCTGTGTTAGGGGCTGTTGCTGGCCATATTGTGAAGGGGCATTTGTTTGTGACCACTATAGGTACTATGTGTCCTGTTACTCCTGCATTTTGATCAAGCTATACATCATCAACATTATGCAAAAAACAATATGATGAATGAATTGATCATACATTTTATGTTACACGAATATATATAAACCTGAGCAGGAGTTGTCCTGAGTATGTGCAGGGTGGTCGATCGCACAGGACCCTAAGTGGAACTACTATAAAAGGACCCCAATTTTTAAATTTAGTAACATATTTTTTCTAAAAAAAATGATTTGAGAGACCAATTAAACAAAATTACACCGGATCACTTTCACTATTAACATTTATAGCCCCGTCTCTACACCTGAGTGCATCAAGAGGCTATCATCAAACTACAAAATGAGCAACAATAACACATTGGTGATTGGCCATATACGACATCTAAAAAAATTGAAAATAACGCGAGTAAGCAATATCCCCCTGAATGCTTTAATGGAAATTTTCAAATGAATCCCCTTACAGCATATTTTCCAAGAGTGTACCTAAAATATATACTTACATACATGTGTAAATTGTGTATCGACAAACACCACATTGTCTTACGTTGGACACAACTACACACAAGCGATGCATATACGTTACCTAAACCTAAAATCGACAAAGATTTTGCTACTGTATAACAATGAGGTTTGCCCCTCGTGATCACAAAAAAAAAAAAAAAAAAAAAAAAAACAAAAAAAAACAAAGAGGTAAGTTTTAAGCTTGTAAAAGAAGAAGAATGGATACCTAACAGAAGTAAATGCCAAACCATGTTACAGATAATTAGCTGAGGCAAATTCATTATGGCTAACATGAGTAGATCAGAATTTGAACAATGTATTATGAAATCTAAGCTAGTCTTGACGAATGAATTATATAAAGTGGCAAATGTAACAAGTGTTAATTTAATATTATTAATTCCAGAAGCTAGTTTAACAAGTGCTACTATACTGTTAATTCCTTGATTTAACTTAAAGAATTGTGATGTTGACTTGTTTTGATCTTTAAAACAAGATAGAAACGTGGCTGTATGGCTGTATATACACTCTATTGATGCATTGCCTTACAAGACAAATCAAGAGAAAGCAAGACATTTGTTCATTTGATTATAGCTGAGGAGGCATTGCAAAATCAAGAAAAACGTAAGATTGTTGAAACGTGTAAATCTCTATGCTTTTCATCCTCAAATAACACATGTGAGTGTTTCATGTCGATTAAAAAATTAATAGAGGTAATCACTTTACACTGAATAAGACTAAGAGGCATCTCATATTACTACATATTACCAAGTGAAAAGGTTTGAGTGAA